TGTGTGTGGGATACACACCCACCCATCCCACAAACACCGTTTTCCACGTTTACCTTTTTGTAGCAGCCGTAAGTGCCATCCATTTGGAGCGGACGAGGCCGGCGTCTCTCAGGGTTGAACGGGGAACCGAAGCGGATGTAGTGTCTGGGTGTGGTGCAGATGAGTGATGACTGAGAGAGACCTGGAAGCATGTTCAGCGTGGTGGCTAGAACTGTGGGGTCAGTGGTTATCCGCAGTGGGCGCTCAACAGGCACCTCCTGGTGGATTCTCTCTCCTCCAGGAATTTTGTCGTTTAGCCATTCTGTCACCAGGTACTGAGAAGAAAATGGGAAGTTACATTTGCTCAGTTCATAGAACGTAAAGGGTACAGTGGAACCCCGACGTACGAATACCCCATTTAACGAAAAATTCAAGTTACGAAGGCACTTAGCAGCAATACTTCTGCCCGTGTTACAGCAAAATGCCCGCGTAACGAAATCCGCTGGCTCTGATTGGCTGAGCCCAGAATGCCTACAATGCCCACAAGCCTTCCGAATCATGTGACAACCCCCTTGGCTTTCGTACTTGCGCTTCGCTGTTCCACTTGAACGACGTATTGTTGTTGCAGTTAGCCTATAGCCTATCGTTTACTCAAAAGGCGCGATGGGTGCTTTGACTTACCCTCGGGAACAAATTAATTTCGTATGTCGGGGTTCCACTGTATTACTTTTAGTATATGTAGAAAGTCTTACCTTCTTGGTCTTGGGGTACCGCAGATTGCCTCTGTTCATGCAGTTAAGGCCTTGGCCATCTCCATCTACAAGAGGACCGCCCAGGCTGTTCTCCCCGTGGCTGTGTTCAGCACCGTATGCACCCTGACTTCCCTCCTCGTCCACAGCAGCACCCTGATCTGCTGATGTTGGTGTTGTTGCCCTCGCTGCTGCTGCAGCTGCTGCAGCTTGTTGGGCGAGGGCTTGGCGTTGCCGTCGGGCACGCTGGGATGAGCTTGAGCGGTAGCGAGATATTCGACTCTTAGGACGAGGCTTGGTGGGTTTTATGGGTTTAGGGGGAGCAACAGGGGCAGGCGGGATGGGGAGGGAGGGTTTTTCTTCAATAGATGGTGCTTCCTGCAAAATAAATGCAATGATTAAACTGGCTCAATATAGAACACAAGAGAAATTAGAAATCTGAAATGTTTCTTCGTGACTGACCACAACATAGGTGGTGCGTCGCGTGCTGATCCCAACTCCAGTGTGTTGGGGGATGGAGGAGTTCCCTGTGGGGTTTCCTGCCCCATCCTCAGTTTCTAAACCCTCCTCCTTGACTTCAGCTCCTCCTATTCTTCTCCTCCTCCTTTCGAGGATGTTCAGAGACTATGTGGACAGGCAGAGATGTAAGTCAGTGTTATGTGACAACCTTTCTTTTTTGAATTACCGAGAGTGGACAACTTAAATCATGAAATGCAATGTGACTTACTTTTTTATTGGAGATGACCCCATTTTCATCAACTTCTCCTTCGTCCCCCTCTTCCACCTTAACTTCATCTGTCAGTCTCTCCTAATTGTACAGACAAGCATCACATGA